ATGAAGTGCATGTGCAAAAGGTACATGCATGGAACTCTGCTAATTTCTACAGTAATAAACTACCATGGCATGAAATGTCATGCTGGGAGTCTAAGGTTCCAGTGGGTCAAAAAGTCTGCTCAGCAGAATTCTCTGCTCAAGCCATCAGGGAGTCATTCACCCTCAGACAGGGCATTGTATGGAGGAGCCGTGTACGGTTTCCTGCAGCACAGAGATCTACAGGTGCCAGCTGTGTACCAGGACAATTTATCCACTGTAAAATATGGTCCCAGGAAGTGTAAGAGTGTAACAGTCATTTCATATACACAAAGCTACAGCCTGTGTCATAAACAATTCCAAACACTGTGCATTCATCTTTATTCTCTCATTATTTTAAAGACATTTTATGATGCTGATGGGAAGGAAAAAAAATTAAAATGCTTTTGACAAGAAATAGACTTTTGTACGAGATCATTCCCTCCCCTTCCAATTTTCTTTTTGTGCTGCAGCTGCTGTTGCCAGGCTGTCTTTGTTGCTATGGTGGTGTTTTGTGTGCCAGAATTTTATATTCATTCTTTTAGAGTCACCTGATTGAGTGGCTGTGCCACGTAAGTTATCAGCTTTACTCATAAAGATGAAAGATATATCAGTCTGCTGATGTTATTTACCTATGACATCAATAAATTGATCAAACTTAATATAAACATATCTATGGCTACTGGCCATAAATTTATGGAAGCATTAATATAATAGGTGAATTCTTATAGTAAATGAGTGACTAAAAAAAATCTCACTTGGGGCTATTACCTTTAGTAGGTTTCATTTTTTGACATGACAGTCATCTACAAGGCAGCTTCACTATACCTTGCCTTATATTTGTCTCTCAGTGGAAAGATTTGAGTTTTCTAGTCTAAACAAATTGAAAGGTGCCTTTCTCAGAATGACGGTGCTTTTACCAGAGATATAGGGTCACATTTTCTTCCTTTCTTTTCTGGAAAGTTGCTCTGTACAAGTTAACGATCCTGCTCCCACTGATAATTAAAGCATAATTTGGTCCAATTTAAAATGCAATTAGGATAATATACCTCTGTTGAAGATGAGTTTATCTTTAATCCCAAATTCTGCAAACACTGTCACTTATGTTTAACTCTCTGCACACCAAGTGCACCAGTGTACTTAAGCATTTTCAAGTCAGGGGACACTGCTTCTTTTCAAAATGTAGATTTACACCAAGAAATTCAGGATAGCAAGTGGCACTGAGATATTTCACATACATGAAATCAATGTTAAAAAAGCTATATTTTAATGCATAGCTCATATCACCTCATGATACAGTCCTTCAGTGTAGCTTTCTCTGTATCTTTATTCGACCTGACTTTGATCAATGCCATCCATTATAGAGCCTTTCTCTTACCTGCCAATGTCCATTTGCACATCTGAGTCTAAACGTATTGTGTATTCATCTTATTTTCTGGAAATTAAATAGTGATACATAAACATAATTTATACAAATGGTGACTTACAAGCATGTTGCATTCTAGTGACTTACTTACACGAGACAATCATTTTACAGTACAGGCTGCAAAACCAAAAACATTCAGAAGTTATTTCCTGCAATGCAAGACCAGTGTGTATCCCATCTGATAAGTACATTTTTGAATAACTACCTTAATAATTTAAAAGCCAAGATTATTATTATTAGCAATACAACTTTATTTCAGTTTCATGAAACTAAAAGCGGCTGAGTAAAGAAGAACCAGAATACAGGCATAACAATCTTGGTATCTTGTGAGCCTTACTGTACATTTGGATTAAATGTGCCTGCTTCTTCCTGTGCCTGACGTAGAGCAATCACTTAATGATAATTGTACTCTTTATGGGTATAATGATCCTGCTGAACGTAGCCTATTTCCAGGTCACTGATGCCACGCTTTGCGGAAAAGAGTTTCAATTTAGATGCACATAGAATTTAAGTGTTTGAAACGTACTGTGTAGCAAAAAATGTATTCTTAGCTGGAGCAGAGGCTGATTAAGGAGCACTGATAACACAAGCTAGCTAGCTGGGTTGAAACTGAATTCCCACTCATTTCACTGAGCCTAGGATTTCAGCAAACACTGAATATTAAGCACTTTCCAGAATTGTTGCTTAGTAGGCAGTCATTTCCTTTTGTGCTTCTTCCTCCTCTGAACGCAAAATCCATTAGATATCTGCCATTTAAAAGGCATGTTTTCCTCTGGCCAAATACCATGTTCTGGTACACTTCATCAGATTAAGACTGAAAAGCCACAAAATTGCTCCAAAGTTTTTTTTATTTGAAATATCATATCCAAGTAAAACAGCTAATGCTGATTTATAGGGTGACTGCCTACATGGTCCTGCTAATAGATTCCCAGGGCTCTGTGGTATCATCAGAAATCAAGTGGTATCATTGTGAATTGTAACTGCTTTTTCCTAACAATTCAAAGAAGGCTAGGTCAGGGAACACTGTATTACAGCCTTGCTGAGAAAACTACCAGAGATGCCTCCACCATCTTTCAAACAGCTGGTTTTGGCAGACTGCTGTGAATTTAGGTGAGCATGGTTTTAAGTGATCGTGATACTGTAGTATCTGTGCTCTTTGCTCTTATTTTCTAAGGATTTAAATATTTCATTTTTGTTCGTTTGTATAATACATTCCCTGTACTCAGCTCTGGTGAAGCTGCACCTCCAGTACTGTGTCCAGTTTGGGGCCCCTCGCTGCAAGAAAGACATGGAGGCCCTGGAGCGGATTCAAAGAAAGGCAACAAAGCTGGTGAGGGGTCTGGAGCACAGGCCTTATGAGGAGTGGCTGAAGGAGCTGGGATTGTTCAGTCTGGAGAAGAGGAGGCTCAGGGGAGACCTTATTGCTCTCTATAACTACCTGAAGGGAGGTTGTAGGGAGCTGGGGGTCAGCCTCTTCTCTTGTGTAACTGGCAGTATAACTAGAGGGAATGGCTTCAAGCTGCGCCAGGGGAGATTTAGGCTGGATGTTAGGAAATACTACTTTTCTGAAAGAGTGGTCAGGCACTGGAATGTGCTGCCCAGAGAGATGGTGGAGTCACTGACCCTGGAGGTGTTCAAGGAACATTTAGATTTTGTGTTGAGGCACATGGTTTAGGGAGAACTATTGGTGATGGGTGGATGGTTGGACTGGATGATCTTGCAGGTCTTTTCCAACCTTGGTTATTCCGTGATTCTGTGATGAATAGGTAGTTGTGAAAATGGTCCTGAAAAGCTCTCTTCCTTACTCCCATCAAAATAGACCAATCCCATATCTACATCAGTGCAGTCAAACCCTGAATGTTATCATTTAAGTCATAGCAAATCAGTGGGAAATATCACAGCAGTGAATGAGCAAAGTTTAATTTTGCCCCATATTTGCATGGCAGGCTGGTACCAAAACAACTGAGCAAATGGAGTAATTGGCCACGGAACATGTCTGTTGTCTGCAGAGACTATTGGAAAGGTGTGGACGCAGATCCCACTAAAGGCAATTAAAAGTTTCTTCTTGAAGGGAAAAAAGTTGGAAGAGGCCCAGTAAGCTTTAACAACTCAGGAACTAAGAGCAAATCTGGAGTTGGACATGCCACCTTTGTACCTTTCCAATTACAAAAAAGAAACCAAACAAAACAGAAAACAACAAACAAAGCCAAAAAGCTTTCCCCCATTTATATAATACATTTCTTTCTACCTAGTAATTTTTTAAAATGCTCCTTTGAAACAAAACCAATTTTTCTTTGTAGACATTCTTTCTACAGCGTTTGCTTTATCTTGGAGAAGCTTGACCTTCTGCCCCAAAATCGTAACAGTCAACTGAAAACCTCTACAGAGAAATCTGAGATCTCTCCTGCCGTGTCATCTGATACTTTCTATCTACTGTGGCTGCACAGGGGTGTGAAAAGAGACAAAGTCATTTTTGGAGTGCTTATGACTTTGTTCTTCAAAAACCTTTCCTTAAAAGCACTGGATTTAGGATTTTGTTGGGTGAAAGGAGATTTTGCCATGGTCTTTTTTTTTTTTTTTTTTTTTTTTTTTTTTTTTTTTTTGTGGAGCATAACTGAATTGAATTAAGAAATTATGAGGAAGCTTCATTTTGTGAGAGCACAAAGCTTTGGGAAAGCAATTTAAGAACAGTCATGATGGGAATTGTATGCACCATTTCTTTAAGAGTCGTTCCTCTTTTGCTGCCCCATTCATCACTTGGTCTAAGTACTGCCCTGCCATTACGCTTTTTATCCCGGAAAACGTGCCGTGCCTTTCCCTTCAAATAACGCCCTCGCGCTCACACCTTGCGGAGCCTGGTGTCGGCAGGGGGTCCCACTCGTCGTCCATCTCTCCCGTCGGCAGGACAGGCGATTGAGACACTCACCTTCGGTCCCTCGTCCGGTACGCCGGGCCGTTAGCAGGGACCCTCGGCCGTCTCTCCCGCAGTGGCTTTCGTGCCTGCGCTGTCGCGCGTCTCCCCGTCGCCCTTCTGCGAGGCCGGTGCCTCCGTGTCAGCTCCCCGGTTTTGGGGCCGAGGGTAGACCGCGTGCCGCTCCTCCGGCGCGCTTCGAGGAAGGCAGCCGCCGGGCTCCGGAGGCCAGGGGCCGTCCCGCCCCACGGCGGCGCCCCGCTGCAGCCCGCGCCGAGGCCCGTCCCTCCGCCCATCCCCGCGCTCCCCCGAGGGCCGCCCCGGGATCGGAGCCGGCCTAGGCCTCGGCCCGGGGCGCGGGCCCGTGCACCGCCAGGCGGAGGGCGGCGGCCGCCCGCCGCGGCCCGGAGGCCGGGCGGGCCGCGCTCCGCGGGGCGGCTGGGCCGGGCGGCCCCACGAGAGCGGCCCGAGGCCGGCACCGACGCCCCGCCGCGCCCCCGGCCCGACCCCGCGGCGCGTCCCGCGGCGGCGCCGCTCCCTCCCGGCCGCGGCCGGCAGGTGGCGCCGCAGCGCTGCCGGCGCGGCGCGCTGACCTCGCGCGGGGGAACCTCGGGGGCCGAGCTAGGCGGAGGAGGGGCGGGCGGGGAGCGGGCAGCGCCGCTCGCGCTGTGCCCTGCCTGCGCGTGTGAGAGCGAGCGGGCGTGTGCGTGGCGGCGAGCGGCGGTATATAGGGGATGTGCCGCCGCATGGCTCGCCCTGGCCGCCGCCGCGCCGGGTCTCTCCTCGGGCGCCGGTGAAGCCTCTCGCCCTCCGGCTCGGCGGCCGCTCCTCCGCCCGCGCCTGGCGCGCCGAACGCGGCTCCCGGCCTCCCTCCCGGGGCTGTTCCCGGAGCCCCGCCGTCCCTCCCGAGGCGGCCGCCGTCTCCCGCGGCTTCTACGCTCCGGGGCGAGCGCGTCGATGCGGTGCAGATGGCCGGGGCGCAGCCAGGAGTGCACGCTCTGCAGCTCAAGCCCGTCTGCGTCTCCGACACGCTGAAGAAAGGCGTCAAATTCGTCAAGTGGGACGATGTGAGTAGCTTCTTCGCTCGCGCCGGGCGGCCCGGGCGCGGCGCGGCTCCGCGGCGGCATGGGGCGTGCGGGAGGCTCCGGCTCCTACGGGCCGGCGGTCGGACCGCCCGGCCGGGCCGCCCCGCGGGCGCCGTGCCCGCTGAGCGGGGCAGGTGGAGGTGGCGGGAGCTGGCGGCCGCTCGGCTCGGCCGGGGCCCTCGTCCGGCGGGCCGTCGCCTCGCGGGGTCCGAGCCGCACCGGGGGGCGCTGCTGAAGCGCCGGCCTCGCGCGCCCAAACTTTCTCCGAGGATTGAAGTCTCCGCGCTCGCGTCCCCTGGCCGGTGCGAGCGGAGCCTGCGCTGCTCTCTTTCTTTCTCCATCTGCCCTTTCCGTTGCCTTCCCTGGCCTGGTGGCGTTGCCCAGCTCTGGGCACGTTATCTGTCTGGTCGGGTATTCCCACCTCTCTCCTTCCTCGGTTAGTTGGAACCCGGGATCTGCCTTAAAATCTCACCTGCTTGCCACTTGCTGGTTCCTGTCACCTTTCATTTGTGTTGCTTCACGTAGAGTGGCGTGGTTGTTGGTTTACCTTCCGTGGGGCAGCTGTTCTGCCCTCCTTTGCAGGCTGTGCCCAGGATGCTATCAGAGAAAGGTAGCCCTGCTCTGTTCAGCTTTCTTTTTGTCAGATCATGAAAGTAAGAATCCTCTGCAGTGGAAAAGAAAGGTGGAAAGGCTGGGTGTCCTCTCTTAGCTTTGCTCTTGCAGTATTGTGCCTCTGGTATGAGGTTGGGTGTTAGTGCCCCAGTTGTGCAAAGAGTGCGTGCCCAAAAGTCTGCCTGTGATATAGAGACAGAGGAGCAGATGGGAAGGCAGGCTGGCACACTGGACAGTTTGAATGTTGTGGGAACTGTTGAGGCTAACTTGAAGGATGTAACACAGCTCTCACTTTTTCTGTTTATTTGGCTGCACTAAAGACTTGCACAACAGCAACTGGAGGGACAGCGGAGAAGGGGAGAGAAGGGGCAGTGTGTGTGTCTGACAGTTGTTCCGCTGTGTATTGTGGTTTTGCCATTGCTCTCAGCCTGTCCGGCAGCCAAATGTGTAATCCTGACCTTTATAAACCTGTGATAAACGCTTTCAAGGAAGGAAAGAGCATCAAAGAAGTGAACGAATTGTAGAGTGGAATTGTATTTACAAGGAAAGGCTGATACCTTTCTAATAAACTCAGCAATCTGACCTTGTCCACAGTAATAAACAGTGCTTTGAAACAGGTTATGATTGTTGAGAAGATAGATGGAACTAAGCTTGAATGACTTGTCTGATAGTCAGAAAGATGGAAGGATTTTCTTTGGTCTGTTTTTTTTTTCTTTTTTCTTTTTTTTTTTTTTTTTCCATTAGTATATAGGCAAAACAACCTCAGCCTTTGCCATCGTAGTTTTATTTTTGGTAAGTTATCAAGATGTTTAAACAGATAAATGCAGGGGTCAAGTGAATGGCAATTTATGTCTCCAGAATGGGACTCTGAGCATTAGGCAACAGTTGAAATTATTTGCATGCAACTTCCAGAGCATTGTACTGCATACATAGATTAGCCAGAGAAAGTCTGCTGTGCATGGAGAGCACCTGCTTCAAATTCTCTATGTTATAGGCTGAATGAAGGAACATCTTCAATTTTAAATGTCAGCATTGCAGTAATAAAAAAGGGCTAAAATGCCAAAAAGTATGCTGTTCAGATTAAAGGTGATCGTGAGCAACACATGAATATTACCTGGGATGTGTTACTGAGGGAGTGCTTTTATCAGCTAATTCAGGGAGCTTGTGGAAATAGATGTGTATTGAGCTACACCTGTGTGATGCAGAATACCTGCATTAACTCATTGCTGACCATGCTCTGTGTATGTATGCATGTTGCCCTCTCAGCCCTGTGTTTTGCTCATGGTGTTTTTTCTCAGCAGTGAAAGCATCACAAAATCAGACTTCAAAGGAAATTGATCTCTTCTGGCATTCTGGCTATAAGGAGGTCTGTAGACCAATGCACATTTAGCGACTTTGAAAAGTGTTGGCCCTTGAGTAGCCAGTAACAACTTCAGAGTATTTGTTTTTTATCAAATGAAGCTGCTTGTAGAATTTTAAAGGAGGATGATCATTAATCTGAACCTCTGTGGTCTGTTGTGTGAGTACACATGCATGAACTCCAAGTGAAACAATATGCTGTAATGAGAAATGGTAAACTACAAAATGTAACCGTGAAATGGAATTGACCATAATGAGTACTTTGGATCTGCTGTGCTCACAGGGCTGATCAGGAAAGCTGGGCTCACATACTGGTGTTTATTGCTCACCATTTTGTATCTGTGACTTCAAAGAATGAATGGGAGTCCAATCCCTCATTCCTGTTGTAACCATACCCTTTTGGTACACCTTCTTGGTGTCTTGTTTTGCAGATGGCTCTACTAATGTTTTTCTTCCCTTTTCATAAAGCAGAGGAGTTTTTTTGTCCGTTCCTATGATTTGTACCAAATTTCAGCCCAGAGCAAAATTTTTTCAGCTGATGTAAATTAAAACACTGAAAAATAGTGCTTTTAAAAAATGAGAATGCAGAAAGAATTTTAACCAGGGCACGAGAAGCGTGTAAGGAATTTCTTGGTGTATAGAGTAATAGTTGTTAAAGAATGTGTTTGGTAGCTTTTGGAAGGATGCTGCAGGGTGCTATGCAGAACACATCTGAGAAATGCAGCAGTGCTACAGACTTGGAAACAGACCCACCCGTGGACACCCCGTCCTGTACTTCTGGTAGCTCTGTGCCTAATTGGTAACTCTGAGGCTGCTGATACGTAGCTGTGGTTCTGATGTTGTTCTACAAGTGTCCTCTCTGACAAAGAGCAGGGAAGCATGCTACATACTCTGTGAGAACTTTATCCAATGCCTGCATCTCTTCCTGCCTGCCCCCCCAAGCATCAAGGTAGGCCACTTGGAAAGAGAAAAGCCTTACCTGAGCTTTGCTAAGATCCTGGCGGAGGAGAGGGAGTGGTTATGTCACCTCTCAAGGTTAAATACAGGCAGGTGGAAGGCAGGCAGTTCAGGAACCTTGATGTTCCATTTCCTCTTCAGACCATTTTCAGTTTCTGGATTGTAAAAACATCAGAGACAAAAAGTTTTGGCTTTGCAATTCAAGTCACGTGAACGTGTGTTGGCACTGGGTATAATATCACTTACATCCAGCCATGCGATGCCTGCTAGATTCTTCACAAATTCAATTTTGGATCAGAATGTAAAGCACTAAAATCCGACTGATGGCTCTTAGCCTATTTTGCTTTCTCTCTCACTATTTCTCTTTTAATCTATAACAGTCTTATAGTCAAGAAAACACACTTTAGAGTTATTGTTCTTGTATCTGGATTGGGTTCACAAAGTAATATAAAGAAATAACTGGAGTTTGAATGAGTGAAAGACAAGTGACTGTTCATAGGGTTTTTGGGGATGCATGCGAGTGCATGTCTGGCATATGGCTCAGCAAACAGCTGAGCTTCTTGATGCTGCCTTCATCTGGGATTTTTATAACCACTTTTCCTTTACTGCCATTAAGAGACAGTGAATTTCCAAAGTACTGGTGTGGTCTTCAAACAGATGTGTTCTGCTGTTCATAGAGAGAAGCAACAACTATGCAAGGAGAGGGAAGGCTTGAAGAGGAGCTGACTTGATTCATTCAGCTGTAGTGAAACTAAGGGTTGTAATAGCTGTTCCTGATGAGTTTTAAAACAGTCTAAAATGAATAAATAAAAAAGCTGCCATTAAGTCTGTGGGTAAAGCTTTTCTGTAGGTGGTTGAATTTAGTGTAGGGATGTTGCTAGCTGAGGAGATCAATGAAACTTGAGTATAAAGGACTGCCTCAGCACTGATCTGAATGAAGCCTGGAGGGGCTCAATCCTGCCTTGGCTGTGTCATCTTTTTGCAGTGGGAACAAGATGGGTATAACTGAGTTAACAAATTGCTCCACAGCACAGCTGAAGTGTGCTTTTACAAATGCAGTAATTGGTACTGAAGCAAGTTAATATGATGGTGTATATTCAAAAATAACTTTGTTTTGAGCTCTTGCTTAAAGGCTTTCTTATCTACACTGGTGATAATATGTACTTTACATAAAGAATTTGACTGGTTTCTCTGTGGCTTATGAGATTTACTTTTAATTGTGAGTTAACTATTACAGTAAAGTAGTGCAATGTTACCTTAGTTGAGGGCTGAGGTTGCCTTTTCTTTTTCTTTAAAGGAAACTTTTAGTTACTGAAACAAAATTACTGATAGGTAATATTGGTTAGTGGCTGCAACACCAGCTATTCCAGAGAGGAGCAAAAATGAGCCCAGATCTTTTAATTTTAATACCTTATTTCTCTTGGAGTGCTTCTTTGCCTTTATAAATGTTTTTAGTTCAGATGATGAGTGCTATATGCAGTTGTTAGGCTTTATTTGTTTGGAGTCTTTCAAAGAAGATTATCTGGGGTATAGGATACATTTACTTGAAAGTTTAAAGGAGATGTAACATCCAAGTGTTAAAGAGATAAGCTGAGAACAAACAGCAAAAAGAAGACCAGGAATATTCAGAAAGGCTTGAAGATGTTGGGGTGGGGGTTGGGGGAGGAAGCTTTTATAGCTTCCATTCTTACCCCCCCCCCCTCCTCCCCGTATATTTTTAAACTCAGCACAAGTGTTTTACTGCAGTATATTAGAGTCATGAGAAATAAGCAACTATTGTTCTCTGTATTGAAAACTAAAACAATAAACTGAAAACAGTTTATTTTTTCTGAATGTTTTCAGCCTGGAGGGGAGAAGTTAGTCAAACTCTTCAGATTTTTCATTGGTTTTCTGTTCTTTGTTGTTCATCTTCCGGTAATAAATAAGTACTGGCTCTGTGCTATCTAAAATATTTAACCTAAACGAATAGAAGTTGTGGTTTGGGTTGTTTGCAATATGGGCAATGATCAGATTGTTTAACATTTCTTGATATTAAACATTTCATGAAGAGGAAA